AAAAGACTAAGTGGGTGTATCTCTCTCTCTAGAGAAGGATAAATATATATCTGTACTTTGGGTCAGTTTATCTCCATCATGATCTTTATGTGTGGGCATGAACACACACACACACACACGTTGAGTATGCATTCAACAGATAAGGGTTGATTTTCTTCTTGCATTATTGAAATTGTTCCTTGTTTTGATTACTGAATTCCAATCCTGAGATTCGGCAGGTTGTAAATCCATGTTTTGTGTAGAGTTAAATCGCTATTTTGTTTGAGGACAAATAATAGTTCAAGTTTGGAGGTTTGATAAGTATGTTTTTACATACTTATTTGATCCATAAAACATGACTAATTGTTGATAAAATTGGTTGATTATGATTCAATTCTATGCAATTTCATGTTATAGGACCATATTAATGGATATGATGAAACTCAAGAGAGAAGATACGAAAAAGGGCAAAAATGAAAGAAAATAAAAGTTCAGGGACCACATTGAAAATAGTACATAGATGAGACGGGCAATGGAATGAAGATTCAAGAGTGTTAGAGGTCAATTGGAGGAGAAAAGGAGTCAAAGAGGTGAAATATGATCGAAGTATTATCACGTATCAACTTTCAGGCGAAAAAGTCTTGCTCTAAATTTTTAGTCTATACTCGAGACCCATTTTTGGTATAGTAAACATCAGAATTTGGGAAAGTCTATTTCTATCAAAATTATAGATCTTTGAGTTAGCTTCTCAACGCACTTTGAATCACTTCAATCAGAGATAAGGAGAAAAAGTAATAACTAAAATCTTGAAAGCTATCTGCCAGAAAAAATGTTTGAACTATGCGGTCACATAGTAGTATTCGGAGACTTCAAGTGGGCATTTTGGCATACATATGTAGTCACATAGACCAAAATTTGGAATCAATCCTACATTTTCCTATTTTCGATATAACTCTTTTGGAACTTGATTAGGACGCGATATAAAAAATTAGAGCCGTCATATTTCGAGGGAGAATGCATTGGAAGGCAAGAAAAACACATATTAGAGAGAATTTAGAGCCACAACATCGAAGAAAAACACAAATACCGACGGGATTTCATGTAATTATTTAATCCAATAATGTTATTTCTTCAAGTTATTATGTATTTTGTAATTTTCTCTATTCTAGGCTACAAAATCTTTTGCAAAGAGATCGATGAAGCTTGTAATGTGATTCTTAATTCCTTGTTTCATATTTTTTACATTATATCATGTTTGATTATTTTGAATGATTTATATGCATTTAATTTCTTCCGTAATTAAGGACCTGTAATTGTGTGAATTTTGGTGACTTATTTCTTACATTTGAGAGAAGGAAAATAGGTTTGATAAGGTATAAATTATCGTAGAGTTCGATAGAGGATAGGGATATGCCGCTATGCTCTACGTGAATCTTTAAGTACTCACAAAACTACATGCATTCTTGTATATTTACATCTATCATAGAGATATAGACTGGTGGTATATGAGAGTATGTTCAACATTGCTCGAGAGAGACTGTTGGATAGATTCAGTAGCATTGATTCCTCATAATTTCAACGTGTTGTCAAAATTATAGAATTAGGGTTAAATTGAGCATTGCTTGGGGATTCGTAATCTTAGTGCCTAATACATTCATTGAATTCATTAATTTGTGTTCCAAACATTCAATTTGCATATTTAGTTCATCTAAGCATCAATTTGCATTTTAATTCATTCAAGTCCTACACATTTGCATACCTAGTTTAGGTTAGAGTTCAGATAAGCTAAAAAAATCACTTTTGACATTCTTGTTTCAGTTAAGGTCAAGATAATTTGGAACTCTAAATTTCACTTTATTACTTGTTACGAACCGTACACTTGTGGAGATTTAAATCGAAATATATTTTCGTGAACAATTTTGATCACCTTCTTGCTCCATCATTGCAAAGATCCCTACCCTTCTTTGAAAAGTTTTGATTTCTTTAGCCCTTATCATCCACTCACTTTTTTCTTCAACTACCTATATTGCTGCTTATTCTCTCCACTAGCACGCCCTCTGAAATCTGCCAGCTATGCTTTTGCTAGCACCTTATGGTAAGTTCCTAGTTCAAGCACTACCACATCTTGTCTCAAATCATTCCTCGAATCTTGTTTGAATCGTCTTGCCTTCTTCTCCTTCGTGTCCGCAAAAGTAGGTACATAATGAGACAAGTCTTCAAACTTATGCTCATATTCAATTAATGACATTGAGCCCTGTGTCAATATGAGAAGCTCTACTTCCTTTCAATTTCGAACACTCATAGGGTAATACTTCTTTAGAAAGGACACCTTAAACTCATTCCACGTCCAAAAGTGACTGGGAGCCCTTGACCTCGCAGTTGATTTCCACCAACATCTAGCACTTTTTTGCAGCATAAATGTTGAGTTCAATGATTCTTTCTATGCTCACCAACTGTCTTCTGCTTCCAAAGCTTTCCTACCACTAAAAGTCGAAGAATGTTGTTTCTTGAATTAACTACGGTAGTGGTCCTAGTGTCTGCTACCACTTCTTGAGGCAGCTGAGGTTGTGGTGGCACGGGTAGTGGTTTCGATTGCTGAATAGGTGGTGGTGTTGGCACCGTAGTTGGAGTAAGAGTTTGCATCATGGCCAGAAATTGCTGGGCAAACTGTGGGTCAATCGCAATAGGTTGGGGTTGTTAAGGTTGTTCATTTCTATTATTTGTTCTTCTACATCGGGGCGCTATATCCTTGAGTAAAACCTAATTAAGAAAATTAAAGACTGAATGAGAAGATAGTAATAACATATTTTATTCATAAGTTCTTAAAAATTTGTAGATAAAAATGATCGCAAGGCATAACAAACGTCCATATAAAATGGAAAATCGTATACTTAAAAGCAAAATTCATAACATCAATGACTCTGTCTAATAATTCGTTCCAGCACTCTCTTCTTGATTCTTCAAGGTCGTTTTCTTTTGTTAAAGATATTAGTATATAATCTATAACGTTACCCTCATTATCAACCTCTAGTATTTCTGGATGATTGATGTAAGGAGGTGGGTCACACGGGCGACAACGACGATGATCTGATGATAGAACATTACACCAATTCGTTCAGCAAAATCTTTCCAGCAATTCTCAAAGGTCCTGAGTAGTTGGATAACAGCCTCATCCCTACTAAACTCATGTCCATTTAATCTCGTCCCTCGATAGATCATCTCTATAGCATCCAAATGCTCTATCAGGTTATGGGTTGGGTCCTGTTAATAAGTCTCAAGGAGGTGTAGAAAGTTTGAACGACTTCTTCTCTTGATTTTCTCTCTCCTTGCTTGATCCTGTCCTCTAGTCTTCTAGGAAAGGCAAAATGGAACTAATTAGAACCTCGATTCAACTTAAAATTTTCAAAATAGGATTTTCTTAATCTAGAAATTCCCCAAAAGTAAGATTTTACT